ATGCGCCACATCTTCAAGGATCTTGACTTGACTTGACTTTAGAACAGCTGAGCTCCTGGCCTGGCTGCGAGCGACAGCTGAAAACCCGCCTATGCTCACGTCCCAAATAAAAGCTGAGACCAATGGCACGGTTAAAAGCACCACCGTATCACCTCTCCTTCCTCAACGTATGGTGACCCGGACGTCGGATCACCATGTGCTTCAGGGTACATCGAAGGGTCACCCGTCGATGTACCCTGAAGCAGAAGCTCGTGTCCCTTACCAGACACGACCGAACGTGTGTAATGCTTCTCCATGAACAGCGTGCCAACGTACGACGTGCCTGCTCCGCCTATGGCAGAGCACACCCCTCACTTTGCGCCTGCCACAGAGACAGCCATTAGCCACGTCCACGTCCACCTGTGTACGAGCCCTCCTGCGCCGACTATGGAAGGGGCTTCGACGACTCCCGGGACGCCAACAGACCCTCCTCCAAAATGCGCGTTTGCTCTGTTCCATGACATGCCTCCTTCCATGTGCTCGACGAGGGACGCGAACTAGCAAGCGTGTAACTCGAATGCTGGAATTCCCTTTGACACGTCGCAAGTCTCGTTCACCTCGGCCTGACGCGCTGACCAATCACGTGTCATCCTTGGCATGGTCCTTCGAGCAAGGCGTTTCCGCGTCAGTCAAATTGTATACTCGTGTCAATACGTCAGCCACAATAAAATGCAGAAAGTGTCATTGCACCACCACCGACTTCTACACGAGCACCACCAACCCGCTACCAACGTTAGCAGCCAAACTGGCACTTTTACGGGCACCTTTTAGAACCGCATGCACTCGTGTTATTTGGACCACTCACGAACGTATCCACCAAGCCATCGCGGCTATAAACACGCCCTGGCGCATTCTTCCTCCGCCATTACGTTTCTCCCGGTGCCGACCATCAGAAAAATTATCACGACCCTGTGACCTTTCACGTTGACAACCTGAATTTTCCAAACGGCCACCTTATCAATTGTCCTTCATGTAGATAATATATCTCTCTCTCTTTCTTCTGTACATACCTTTTCCATCGCTCAAAGGGCTAAGCGGGAAGAGGGAGCCTATGTAGCGCCACGCGAGATTTTGCCAGCTGGCCACGCCAAAAAAGAAGCAAGCCGCGTGGCTCGTGTGGCGCGAGCTACGAGGAATTTGAAATCCGCTGCAGCTCGAAACCCTTCTACGCTCACTTACAGAATAAAAGCTGAGACCACAGAATGGTCTCAAGCGCCGCCATCTCGTCTCTCCTTCCTCAACAGGGTCCTAGATGTACGAGGGCGACGTGCTCTTCTCGGTTGGTGAGGTGTGACACGTCCATGACTTGAGCCAGGGCAGCTTCGCTGTTCACGGCAACTACATATTTCCGGCCTCCAAAGTGCTCGACATGGTATACTTCTTCGATTACTCCTATTTAAGACATCGTGTCAACGACGTCTTCAGGACTTGCCCCCTCAGGGACGACATCGAAGGCTCATGCCTTCTTCGGTGGCTGGCTTACTTTCATGGGCGCCCACCAGCCCAAGAACGCCCTGAAGCGTGCTGCTTAGCTAGCAAAGCACCAGTCAGAGATCACCTTGAGATTTGCATGGCTGAAACGCGTTTATACAGTCGCTAAAATGTTTTGTGCATAGACGAATTTCCTTGCAACCTCAGTATCCCCCCCCCCAATGAATATCTGAGTCCACACACCGCATCTGTAATAATTGACTAAGAGACTACTTTTCAAGTTTTAAATTGCGTAAAGCCTTCAGTTTTTAGTATCTTGTAGTTTTCTACACGGTAGCAGCCCTGTAAAATTCATTATGCTACTATTATTCTGCCGCTTTCAAGCGGCTAATCTCAAAAAGTTGTTCTCGATGTCTTGTACCACTTTCCTGCACGATGACACAGCTATTCTAGGAGACATGTTATTAATACCCCAGTAGTACTCTTAAATGCCACAAATTATTGTGGAGATAGACAATTGGTCCTATCTCTGTCTGTCTGTCTGTCTGTCTGTCTGTCTGTCTGTCTGTCTGTCTGTCTGTTGTCGATCGATCTATCTATCTATCTATCTATCTATCTATCTATCTATCTATCTATTCTACTACTCATGGTGCTGTTATCTTCATCTCGTTGACATAATCTATACCGCAATTTCCACATTATGACATCAATATGTGATGGCCTCGCATAATTACTTCACGACACACGGTTTATGATACGCTAGTCACGTACGTCATGTGATGGCAAGATGTCATTCGCGTGCCATAGAAGTACTTTACCTCGATACATGCGAGAATGTGCATCGTGTGCGTAAGTGCGTGAGCAACATCAATGCCAGGTCATGATATTGCTTCAATGCAATCTAGGTGACAATAAAATGAAATAATGTACAAGAAGCATTGATAGGGTGCTTTGAGCACGCTGTAGCAATTGCGAGCCAAACAGCTGTTGCTGGCCGTTACCGAAGCGGCAACCTACAGTTTCTGCCGGCGTCAAGTTTTCTTTTTGTTTCACTTTACTTTCGTCGCTTCTATAATGACAATTTCTACGCTAATTTTCAGGACAATTATCATCCTCCCTACCTTTTTTGCCCTGATTTTCTTTCGATTTTCACTAGGTTTGTGTCAAATAAATAATGCAACAAGCCTTCAACACTTCGTCTATTCATCCAGGTCATTAATCGCACGTCAGTAATGTCGGCTACAGAATGATACGAATACGCACATAACATAAACGGTTTTCCTCGAACAATTTTGCCAAGCTGCACATCAGAGTGTGCATGCATACATTACAAAGACGCGCTTGTAAATGTTACGTCTTTCATGAATAGCAAAACGTTTTTTTGCCGCCCTTTTGTTCAATTTTGTATCCCAATATGCATTATAACGCACAAAGACATGACTTGCAAGCCATGACACGTACCACAAATACTCAAATAATACTAACACTAGTTAAGCGAACGTCTGATGGTTCTGTCTGATGGTGCTTAGTAATGTATAGTTTAGCATAACATTGGCTTGTAGGGAGTTCGCTGTCAGCGTCTGTGGCCCTTTGCGTGTCTATTGTGGGAAGCAGTCGTGGTTATCGCTGGTTAGCACTTTATAATGTTTGCTAACTGTTGGCTACAGTAGTGTTTCTAGCTAACTTATATCACTCTTGACCTGCAGTAGATAGCGTTGCCTGTCCGTGTCGTTCATCTAGATTTTCTCCCGCAGACTAATATTATGAAATGACGCCTGTTGTTAGGTACTGTTACTTGTGTTAGGCTTCAAAGACATTTGGGCACCAGTAGTTCCTACTACTAGTGCTTAATTGTCTCTAAATATTGGGTAACTCTCGGCTAGAGTTGGCGACAGCTTGTTAGTTTTTCACTAACTGCTGGTTAGCTAACTACTGGTTAGTGTTGGCTAACTGTAATTCCGAGTTCGTGCTGGCTAAAATTTGCTGTTTCACATACCATTGATTACCGTAGTGAATGTCATCGGCTGTTTTTTTTTTAAGTGAATGCCTTTATTAGTCGGGCTATGTCAGATATCCACGGGGATTCGTACGCCACCTTCTACCACAGCAACCGCTGCGAGCGCATGCGTCCCTAGCAACCAAATGCCCCGCCATGTCACGCTTCGGCGTCGGCAGCTGTCAGCAACAGCTGCGGGCGTGTGCGCTTACGCTCGCCCCTAGCAGCAGGAGCCCCCACCTTCTTGACTTGAGCGTGACTTTCCACCTCCTCTATGCAGTGCCTTTGAAACACGTTTGTTGCGTTTGTGCTGCCAGCGTTTGTGTAGCGTTTGTGTTCATAAGACGCTGACATTACGACCATCAGGTACAATGACAGGTGCTGTGCTTCGCCTCTCCTTCTCTCACCGTTCGCTCTCTCTCCTCCCTGCGCCCCACTTTCCTGTCAAATGAAGTCAAGTGGGCACCTCACTCTCGGCTGGATTAAATAGTCAACTTAGCGCCAAATTCATAACCACGCCGATTGCCCTGTGTGGTTGTGAATTTGGTGCTAATTTGACTATTTAATCCAGACATGCACCATCTAGATCAATCTCGACCGTTTGCTGACTGGGTGCCTCTTAAGGCGATGGCAGAAGTCAGTGAAGGCGAATGTCTGACGGCAGCGGTACCCTCTCTCAGCGCAAAAAATGCTTTCTCATTTCCTCACGATTCTCTTCGGACAGGTGGGAGAATTTTTTTCTTGACATGCTAAATATTCTTGACAGTCATGCATATGACTTACGACTTTATGCTCAAGATTAAGGCCAAATACATGTTCAGGCTATGATGAGTGCATTTACACTTTTCAGAATGGATATGCAGCTTTTGGTTGAGATCATACCTGCCTTATTTCGCAGCAGTAAATTAATTCATTTATTTGTCAATTCATTTGCTTTATAACAAGAATACGAAGATGTCATTTTTTTATTGTGGAAAGTGCATTAAGCGTATTTTGATGATTGACCTATTTGGGCCCTTGTCTTAGCGACGTTGACATCGTCTTCCATCGTATCGTATACTCTTGGCCTCACTACAACTAAGCATAACGTTTACGTTTTATACTATTTATACAGCGTTTCGTTTCTGAATTTCAGCGTCGTAATTGTAAGGTAGTACACGATGGTGCTTAGGAGGGCAAGTATCATTATGAATATTGGGGTCGAAGTGAAGTAATGCCATGTAGAAATCATTGAAGTTGTGTCTTAGCAGGTACTGTATGACGAAACAGCGCAGACAAGGAAATGAAGACAATACTCAGCGATGTGTCCTGCATATTCATCTTCCCGTGGTCTGCGCCACTGTGTCATAAAATAGTGCTGAGACACCAATTCAGTAGGTCTTACACTACTATTCCTACACACACTTCAAGTCACTATGGCCGAGGCGACCGAATTTGATCTGATTCGCTGACCAATCAAATCTCAATATCGCCACTGTAACTAGTCTATTAACTTAGAGCGGTCCAAGCAAACAAACAACAAAGGAGTACTTACCATGAGCCAACATTGTTCAGGCACGGAATTGTCAAGCCATTGCTCTTTTTCATTGTTATCTTCAGCGTCGGGTTTGATGCTAGCTGTGTGCTAATGGTGAGCGTAAAATTCACTCTCATTGTTTTTCCTAATCTGGGCATCTGTTATGCTTACGTCGTTCACCTTGACGTCCTGTACACCTGAATGAAAGCCCGGGAAAACATGGCGCATGTAAAGGCTTAGGTAGCTTCTAATTATCCACCATAGTTTGAGAACGCACTCCTAATAAAAAATGCAGTCATTAGAAATGCAAAAGTCTGCTTTTCACTTTGCACCAAATGGTTGTGAAAAACATGTCAACAATAAAAATCCATAACATACTACGATAAGGAACAGGTGATGAACCATTGCCTCACTAAGATTCATCCGATACAGATGGGGGCTTTTAAAGCTGCTCCTATTGCTTAATCACTTTTTGAAACGAGACAGTGAATGAATGGCACAATGACGGACCACTTTGACAACGAGAGTCTAGTTTGCATGTGTGGATCGTGGAAAGCGCAGCAAAACATAAGGGTTAACAGAAGCCACTGTCTATAAAGGCCGGATAACCACTGCGGACAGGCAGTTTTTATCTTTGTGTCTGTTTCACTCAAATTCACAATGCAGCTGCCATGCCAGGTTATGTTTTAGAACGACCATTAAGTTATATCTTTCTTTGTACTTTATTTAGGTACGCCAAGTAAAACACTTATAAATAGAACAACGTGTTAAGTTTTAACTTTCAGTCATTGCTTCACTGCAAATAACTCTTCATCCTTTGAGATAAGCTACAACCCCGCCCACTTAACAAATTGTGCATCTAACAGCACTCAATCATTACAGAGAAGTAAAGGCTGAAAAACCCTATATTGAATGTTTTTACTACAAGTTAAGCTGCTCCAAGTAAAGAACAGTATATTTACTTTTTTGTGTCTTCTTGAGAATTGAAACAGCTATGACAAGTTCTCTCATCCACGGGTGTGACCATAATTTAATAAAGTGATCTGTCTCCTTTTTGGCTAAACCTGATAGTGCACTATTGTTGTTATTCACACTTGCAGTCTGTTAAGCAATTTACCATGAAGGAACTGCATGAGTTTCATAACACAATAAAAAATAAAACTCAGCACTATTCCGCACAGTGCGAGAGACAACAAATAAAGCTGATGGGGCTTGTGTTGCTACAGCAGTAAGACTTTCACTAAAGAACGCCGCAGGTGCAATAATTAAGATACCCCGGTTTTTTGGCTCGGCTGCCACTACCTATAGGCCACTACCACCCAGCTCGGCGGCCACTACCTATAGGCCTAACAAGCTTTAGTCGAGCACGCACGGGCTGCGGCCGTGGCCCCATGCGTCTCGAACAAAGGACTTTAACCTAGCATTCGTTAGAACCAGCCCATGACAGGCTGCTCCCAGTGCACCACATGTCGTTCCTAAACCTTATTCAAGTTTCAATCAGCATCAACGCCTTAAGGATCATAGTATTACGCTGAAGATGAGACATTCGCAACGTCCATCGTTCAATTGCAAGTGAGGCGAACACTTACGGGATTAAACACCAAGACGGAATGCTTTGCCAAATCTGTCCGGCTCGTAGTCATTTCACTTTGGTTTTGGTAAGTACAATGGTCTGTTTGTACTCGTTCAAAATATTACTGCTGGCCTGCCTGGCGTTCTATTCCTCTTTTTGTCTGTTAGCACTTTTGTTGCGTACCAAATCTCGCTTACTTCTTCTATTCCAATACTGTAATAAGGTCATCTCATACTCTCATTATTGCGGAGCGTGTCGTGTTGTGTAAACACCAGCAGGTTTTCACTTCATAACTTTGCAATGAAAATAAATAGCCGAAGGTCACGATTACATAACATTGTGAGAAACATCCAACTCTATACTCACTAGAACATGATGTTAGAGTCGGCGTCTGTACAGAAGCCATTGCCAAGACCGAGCATCCTAACGCGATGAACAACACTATGAGGAGCATATTCATTTTCTAAAAGCAAACACTAATCTGCTTAGCGCTAGTGTAAACGTTTCAATTGCTATGCGTTGCATTCATAAAGCAGATGCTTTTATATACCCGAATGATCGAGGATTAATAGGCTTTGAATGCTTTACGCACGAGAACGGCGGACAGTACTAAAGTAAGCCATTTCCGTTTCCTGTTTTACATTTTTGAAAGACCTACTTCATGTGCTTCTATGGCACGTGTGATCTATATTTGAGGGATATCTCTCAGAATAACACATGCACTTTACACTATGCTGCGATGAATTGGGCCAAAATGTCATTGACAGCATCCGGCCCCATGGGCATGTGTGTTCCTGTTATGGATATCTCCACGTAATCTAATCACTATCTTTATATATCACTTACGATAAACAAATCAATGTCATTGTCCAGATAGATATGTGGGGTTTCATGTCCCAAGACCACCATATGATGTTGAGAGATGCTGTAGTGAGGGGCTCCGAAACTTTTGACCATCTTGGGTTGTTTAACGTGCACTTAAATTGGAGCAGAAGATTCTACAGCATTTTCACATCCATCGAAAATGCAGCCACCGCAGCCTGTATTCCATCTCGCGACCCACACGTCAGCAACCGAGTACATTAATCACTAAACCACCGAGGCGGGGCAGCATCTGAACCTTGAGGCCACTTTTTTCAACTGATGGAATATGTCGTGGAGGTATGGGATACTTGCAAAAGTAGCTTTAGGTTTGCTTTTTAACCTGATTTTTACCCCTCAAATCAATCTTCACCTTCTGTGAAATCCTTTTGGCTAGGGCGGCTAGATGGCGCTCAGAGAACCATGACTGCTTCAGTCGTTCTACTTGGCTAGCAAAAGTTTCGTACGTGCGATGCGGGCAAGATTTCTTGAGCAAAGCTTTCACACAAAACATCGCAACGTAATTCTTTATTATTTTCAAAGAATGACTTTACTGGGGCACGCTTATGTCCTACTCAAATCATTTCTTTTTGCATCAACTCAGTTGCGCGCACATATTAGTATTCAAAAATCAAACATCACTCTAACAATCACACGACCCGCATAACTCTAAACACATCACTCGAATGAGTGATGTACTTATACCTTGGTTCGCTGTACTCGTAATATAACCGAGTATCTTTTTTAGTGTCATCGTTTGCTCTGAACTTGATGATTGGCCCGCGTTATTTATTCACCAACACTGTAATGACAGCAAAGTTCATATTTTTGCGCACTCTACTCTTAATTCTGCCTATTCTTGTAACCGATGAAGAAGATGCGTTCAATTGCAAATTATTGAATTCTGTGTTATTAATAATCGCTGATGGGCTTCTTCTGTTTTACTGCCAGGGTGGTACGACCTATAGTCAGGCGATTACCTGTGTCCCCTGAAGCAATCTTTAGCAACTCCTCTTTCAATAATCCACATAAACCGATAAACCAAACATGTTCAGCGTTATTTTCGTGTTTGTTGTTAATATCGTAACGCGCTGATTTCATACGGGCAGTGTACCCCATTCTCTTGCAAGCAGCTCAATTCCTTGTCACAAACTTCCATTCAAATTTGAAAGCTGGAGATCTTGATGACTTGTGCTTCTGAACCAGTTCCAACAAAATATCCAACAAAACATGACATCAGCGTAGGCGTCTGCAGTGAAGTGTGACCAAGTTTGAGCACTCTGACGCAAATGATAGAACTATGAGCAAATTATTCTGTTTTCAGATTTCGACCACCACTAGGTTGTTTAAGAGTACAGTTCAATGCTTTCAGCTTTTTGAAGTATTAGTATTTCACTGGTTATTTAAAACGGCCTTATAAATTAATAATGCGCAATAAAGGCTAAGTGTTGCCGAGTAGCTGGAAGGATTCACCTTTGAATGTTCCCAGTTCCTGGATGGAATTTCTGTACTGAAGTAGTTATGCACTATTCAGACACATTGATCTAAATTTGTGTTTTACGCAACAGATTAGCGGGTGGAGTTTAAAATGTGCTGTGACGACTCGGGCTGAAACGGCATCGAGCATCACCCGCCTTGTTTGTACGTGTTTTTCCATTACTTTTGGCTTAAATATTACCCTTTAAAGCATTAACAATCATTTGCAAAACAAACACCTTACTAGTTTTTACTAATCTATTGAACTTTAAAAGTGTACTCATCAAAAACAAATCGTGATTCGCTTCACTGTAAAGCCAGTTTTCGTCTTCCATCTGTAAGTGGAACCGCTACGTGGCTGCACTGTTAGATTTCACTGCAGACAAAAAAGGAAAGACGTTGAATTGTACGTTTTACGGCACTCCCTCTGTCTTCATATGATAATTTATATACGTACTTTAACTCGCAATATTCCCCCCTTGTTCCCATCTGATGCATTTCACCGCCAAACGGCTTTGACTTTAGGAGCATTTCACGGTAAATCACTACTGAACAGTTAAATAGGCTGTCAAAAATCGTCCAATCTAGAAAATATACAATAGCTGCGACGAACTAAATAATTCTAAGAGAGTGAAATTTGCAAAATTCACAAGAAACGAATGTTGTCTGATATGCTTACAGAATAAGTACGTTTATCTATTAGGTCGATAAAAAGAAAGGCACAATAAGAGGAGCATTCTGCGTTCATGTTCAAACTGTATTTATAAAGCATTACTTCATTGTGTTTCCATTTGCAAGAGTACAGGTAAATGGCCTACCACAATCCTTAGTAGTTTGTAATATCGACCTCTAAGTAGTTTTAGATGAGCTACGTCACCATTTTTGGAAAGTGTGAGCTTATTTCCCTCTCAGCGTCTCATGTACCTCCGTAGTTCTGTTACCCAAGGACTAGTTCTCTCGACTATTGGCTGCTTTGCACTTAATTTAATGTGACAGCGCTAAGAAACCTCTGTCGCCAAAAATACGACCTCAGCATTGAAGACGTCTCCCATGAGGAAGAAATCTCGGTGGACGCAAAAAATAGACCCAGAGATAAAGCCGAAATGCAACACAAATTATTTGTGTCGTTTTCGTGCCAGTTCTCTAAACTGGTGCAGAAATAGGCCTTGTAGAGGGGTCATATGTCCGGGTGCATAGTCACATAGTAAGGTGTTCAACAGAAGCATACAACAACACGAGGCAAAACACCCTGTTAATTGCTCTCAATCCCATTACGAAAGACTCAGCTGTGACTAAACATCATCATGAGCAACCTTAGCATGGAAGAAGTGTGCAGGTACGTAAGTGCACTTATTGCTTTACGTAAAGGTAGTGGGTACATCACAGCGGTTTTTTTTTTTCGCAGCGCCGCAGGAGAGTTTACAACACTCGCAGACGTTACTTCCCTCTTAGACAGCAATTATCTTTACTCAAAAGGGAGCTGACGACGGAGTTGTTCAATGGGAATATAGTGTCAAGTTTAGGATGCCACGGTCCTGATCTGAGATTTTGGTCCGGCTCACCTCACGCTGCTAGTCTCTGATGCTCAAGTTTGTCAGCTGAGTCTCCCACTGTTCTAGGTGTTCTAGGATTCTGTGACAGGAAGTATTGATGGGGTCACCATCGCCCACCCATACTATGTGGTAGTGTCTATTTCTTGCTGAACAGAAGTTATATTTTCCTCGGTAGCTTGCGCAATGCATGCACTAAAAGAGGGAACCTTGAGGGTATCTCACAGTCGGAAGTTTTTGTAACAACACCGTTTGTTTTCTTGTGGGCTTAAGGTGTGCGGTTGACACGTCCTTTTGCTAATTTTGTAATGACTAAAAATGGCGCAAATTTTTTACAGCGAAAGCTGTTATGATATCAAAACTTAAGTCGCGCGAGGAGCCATAGTTGTCCGCCGCCACTGGTGTCTGTAATCGCATCGCACGAAATTAGAAAACAAGTTTAGTACCAATGACACAGTGGCGCTTGAATTCGGACCCACTGGGTGCCAGTCCAGTAATATATCACTGAGCCACGCCGGTGCTTAGGGCTTGTTGACAAACTTGCCTTAGGCAGGCTTGATGCCGGGAAATCCATCGGGTTAATTCGACTTATAAAGGGTTTTACAGCAGCGAAAGAACAACCACTCGTCGCACAATGCGAATAGCGTAACGTGTGGATCGTCCAATGCTCCAACCCATTTCAAAAGCTTCTTCTTGTTCACCTATTAACAGTGGTGCATACCCACTGCAGGCATAAATGCAATCGTCGCAGCCATGCAAGCCACTGCAATCATTGTCGTCAGCCACTACATGAACTATTGTCACAAAATTTCGTGCAAGTGTTTAGCGGATACCAAACTTCTCAAAAGTGTGACGAAAAATGGCATAGCGAATGCCAGCCTTATAACCAAAATTTTATTATTATTTCGTAGCGGTTATCAAGCAAGTGCGCTTGCAGAAGTTACCCAATGAGTGTTGAGAAAAGGCTCTGAAAGGCCGCTCTTCTAGCTTTCGCTGTGACTGTGCTGCGCTTTCTGCGCAGGCCTGACGTTTTTGTACAGATTGATTATAGGTTGACTAAGGCTCGCAAACTGCGTGAATAATCTATTCTCTTTTCCTAACAGCGTGGTTGAATTACGCACCCCGAACGCACGACCTCCAGTGACATCGGCTTCTTCAGGCTGTTTTACTGCATCCTGCAAATGTTCCACTAGCGAAAGGTGTGGCACGACACAAAATGAGCAAGTAACAGTTTTCATCAATAAAACTCCTAAGACTCTCTCACTCTTTTCTGCCGATTACCCAACGAAGCATTTGCAAAAGAGTTTCACAACCAAATTTGTACAAATCATGAAGAAACTCCGCGAAGAGTTTCGCTTTACAGCCTGATCTCTGGCCATCTTACACAACAGTCTTTTTGGCGGTATTATTGGTTGCAGCCATTGTCCGCCGCAGCTAATGTGCTAAATGAGAAAAGTATACACGTCATATAAGACACAACGTGAATGGCATAAATCAAAATATGTCACTGTATTCACTTAAACAGCTCTGATACCTCGAAATGCATGACATATAAAAAACACCATGATGTTCCATGCATCCTTTGATGGGCACTGCATTTACTAACATGGAACCATAACTAGTTGGCTAAATTTCGACTAAGGTTGTCCACCATACCGAAATGTGTATGCGTATTTGACAAACATAGCGCAATGAATGGCATCATATCAATGGTAAGCTATGTCGCGAGTGGCAAGAGAATAATTGCACAAGTCACATGTTGCCATGGTCACTTTTTAGTCGGCAGAGGCCTGTGATAGCGTGAGCGGTAAAAAATGACGTTCACGCCAGAGCATGTACTCTGCTTTCTCAAATGAAACCTTAGCGAGGTGGTCAACTCGTGACTTGCGTTCTGTAATGGTGTCTAGAGTCGGCTAAATCTGTTGGCCATCAGTGCCTAATATTTACTAGTGTGTCCGAGTGTTGACAAGTCATGTCCAGCTGTGGGCTATTGCTTGAACGCGAATGCTGGCCTTCTGAACCTTAAGCACCCGTCATTCAAATTAATGCACCATGAAACTATATATTTGTTGCCTCAGCGTGTAGCTTCCTTCGGCCGCCATGGGCAACAAAAAAGTAAGACGTTCCTAAAACACATCGGCACGCTCAAGTATTTCCGTTCTGTGCACTTCTCCAACGAACGCTCCCTGGATCCGACCATAATCTCCGGTGGCATCTTGTAATTATGCGCGGCCTTCCCAAAAAGCATTGGCTGATCCGATTTTGCAGCTAAATATTTTATGCGCAAAATAAACAAATAAAACAGTGTAAATTTCTGATTTCTTAATCTCCTTGATCAACGTGAGGAGACGTTTTACGAGCAATGCTCGAGGAAATGTCACAAGTTCACTTGCGTGTCATTTGCATTACAGGATTGAAACAACCATGTATCTTTTTTTTCTTCTAGATAATGTCTAATATAATTCCGAGAACTTGACATATTCTTGAAGCTTATTTCATATGATACGCTTCGTACATAACCTAGGAGGCAATGATTTATAGCATTCAGCATATTTAGGCACAGCAAATGCTATTCTTCGACTACTTCTGTCCTATAGTAAAGAACAAGAATCTTGAGCGTATAGCTATCAGTTCGGATTCAACGAGCCATCGTTTATTTGCCCCGTAACGAATGTGTATGCTGGGACACACTGAAGATTTATTCTATTGCCAATTTTCACTTATTTTACACTAAGATCTACAATGTCGTGAAAGGAATATTCAAAAAGTTGCTTGTTGAATTTTATTGCAAGACAAAAGGTCAGCTTCGAAATCTACTTCAACCAAGCGGTGCAACTTCATTTTCGTTCTTTTTGATGAAAATCAAGCAGCAGCTATATTCACTTTAAAGGACTGACATCCAACCGTAACTCCTCCGTTCAGTATTGCAATCTGAATAGTGAGTGTTGTTGGCGCCGTCTGTAAAAGATAATTGACAGGTTAGTACAGCCAGGTACAAATGCAACACTAGAGTGTGACCTGAATGCACAACAATGTCATAAACCAAAATTTCATTCCTCTGTATGTTTGGTTTTATTTATTTTTTTCTCTAGATTGGAAACCTTCATGCTTACAACGGGATTTCAATTCACTTGTTGAATATATATTATTCTTTGAAATTATGTCATATTCTCCAATTTCATTCATTGAAAGCCTAATATGATTACCGGACTTGGTGTTTTGGAAGCACCTGTGATTAATTTTGATATAGATTCCATAACGTTAACGGCAATCAAGTTACACTACAATATTTGCCTCTTGCCATTATTAAAATGAGTCCGCCAAGCTTTCCGTCAGAACAGCGTCCTTGTGGTTTGCGTATAGCAACGCTATTTTAGCTTATATATCTACGAAATTTTTATGCTCTGTTGCATCCTGAAAGTTTAATTGTCACTAAATTCTCCAGGAATAACTAAAGTTTTTATGGGATGACTTTTGAATGCGTCGCCCACCGGATTGCGTAATCTTAATTACATGTGTTCTGTTTTCTTTGCCGACCCACTGCTTCATACTTAACGAAGACCTGCTTAGGCAGCTTTGGTGGACTCATTCGTTCACTATAGGTGTTTCATCGACAACATTCTTCGTCAAAATTGTGCTGGTCTCGGTGTTTTAAGCAATATATATGCTGTGTGCGCAATGGGATTGGTGATACACGAGAAACGAAACATTCATGTAGGCAGGTCATACTGTGTGCAATAAATCGTACAACTAAGTGTGTATACTAAGTGGATGCGGTTAACAGGCGCAAATAGTGAATCCGGTAGAAAGAACATAAACGAAGATAGGCAAAGTTGTAAAATAACATGAACGTAGAAAACGTTGTGGGGGAGGTGGTTGCCACTTGTACTTTAGCTTTGTTAGAGAAAATTTAAGACACACATTGACTAAGGCATAGACGCTCAGGTCCCTTCCGAACATAGACTTTCCAGAATGCGAGACATTGACTTTATTTGTGTGCCTTGTTGACTAGAAAGGGTGATGGCATCTTGTCGGACAATAATCTGTCTTTCAAATGCGGAACATCTCTTAGTCGCACAATGTCACGAGGCGTGCGTCAGCGTTGTCTAATTATCGCGATCACCAGCGTCATCGCCAGCTACAAGGGGTCCCCCTCTAAACCGGCTCACCTCATGGACTAACTCGCACATTTGCTCGTTTTTGTTTTTTTAGGCTCCGCTGTCTTGGGGGGGGACCCCTTGTAGCGCGCCGTGCCGCCGGTGATTGCGATAATTTTATTTGTGTGCGCATACCAATTCGTATGCCGAGGCGCACGGTGAAGACGCGGCCAACATGCCTCACGTTATCTCCGGAGGGCCGCGGAAGATACGCAGCCATGCCCCTTTTGGTTGTCGCTTTCGAAGCCTGTTTTTCTGGGAAAATAAAGTAGTCTTATCCAAAACTTCAAGGAGTGTAGGTGCCTTTTTTTCGGGCCTCCGTTGGGCGAGTACGCTACATCTACACCTCCACTGCACATGCTCGCGCCTCGCCTATTGTGCCGCATGCTTGTGTCTTAATGCAACTGTTTGCTCCCCCCTCCCCCTTCTGTCACCTCCGAAGGCCGACGCAGATAGCATGTACTAGTAAAAACCAAGTGGTCGAGTAGCACAACCTTTTACTGGCCACCCCGTATATGCAGCCACTCGATCGCACATCAGCGTCCCACCACTCGTTGAAGGCAATGCTTCTTCTTCATTCAGTAATCAAGAATAATAAACACTAAATACCAATTAGGCATTCCCAAACCATCCCTCGCTTCGAAAGGTCGATGCACTCAGCTTCTGCTAGCAAATACCGACTGCCCGGCTGCACAACCTTTCATGAGCCACCACGTAGGGTGTGCACTGGATCGCACATCAGCGTCCCATACCCTCGTTGAAGGCAACGCTTATTAAAGGCAAAGCATTTCTTAGAGAACTTCGGTGATTTTGAGCGTATCTATCTATCTATCTATCTATCTATCTATCTATCTATCTATCTATCTCTATCCTATCCGCCTACGACTTATATCTCTCCTGGCCGGTTCATTAATGGTACCGATACCAAACTTGGTATGGCATAACATGATTGTATGAAGAACATATTTGACTACTTAAAACATCAAAATTATGACATATATGTAAAGAATGTCATGATTTACATTTCAAGGTCCTGCAGCTCTTCCGGTGATTTCGTTCACATGGCATGTTGCAAAACTAGGTATGGTATGGCATTATTGCATGGCAAACACAAGCGACCGAACCAAACATGAAAATCATGACATGCTTGTCATGTAACAACAGGACTACATTATGCACTCACGGCCGTTTCGACAAGCGTCACATATACCAAATTTGATAATACAATACGTGAGTGGATGACGAAGGTATGTGACTACTGCAAACATGATAATCATAGGATGCGTGTCATGTAACAACATGACTACATGCTACGCTCATGATGCGCTCGCGGCTGTTTCGTTAGCTTCAGATGTACCAAACTCGGTATTAGGTGACGCGAACGGACGACATAAGTAATTGACGCATCCAAACATGATAATCACGGCATGCATGTCATGTAACAACATGACCACATGCAACACTGATGATGCGCTCGCGGCCGTTTCGCTAGCTTCACATATGTCAAATTTGGTATTACGTGACGCCAATGGATGACGGAGGTATGTTACTGGTGCAAACATAATAATCATGAGAGGCTTGTCATATGAGAACATTACTACATGCCACAGTCAAGGCGCCAATGCATTTCGACGTGACGCGGTGCGCGTGCTCGCCGGCTCTGATTTCGTCGCATCACGCCGGCGTTGCACTCCAGGCGCCGGTCCTGCCTTATGCTCGCAGGCGCGCGCCGCACTGCGTTGCTTGACGAATGCGCCTTTCAGCGCGTCCGGCGTCCCTCCGTCACGAAAAGAGGGAGACGTAGTGTTGTCTGGGTAATGCATTGGTGCGAAATGCAGCATGTCGCATTTCGTCGCATTTTGTCGCTGGTTACTGTGGGGCCGCGCCGACGGACGCTGGTCGCACCTGGCATCAGACTACAGAGTGCTCGCGTTTGGCAAACGTAGCGTCGCTGTGCCCAGCGTGCGCGCGTGTCAACGTTAAAATTGAGTACATTGGGCCCTTCATAATGCGCTAGCGGCTCTTTTGCTAGCTCAACATATACCAAATTTGGTGGTGCGTGACGTCAATGAATGACAAAATATATGATTGGTGCAAACATGATAATCCTGACACGCACCTCATGTAAGAAGATGACAACATACCACGCTCATAGCGTGATCGTGGCCGTTTAACCAGCTCCACATATACTAAATTTGGTATCACGTGACGTGAATAGATGACGAAGGTAAACAACACATCCAAACATGGTAATTATGACATGGAACTTATGTACGGCATCATTTACCTCCACCTCGTAACGTCTTGCTTATTTTAAAGTGGCATATCAACATTTCTCATTCGTGCTTCGCATATTATCGATTGCTACAGTACATGGGATCTGCCATTTTTTTTCATTCATTGAGTAAGAATAATAAAGTCAAAATAACAATTAAGCGTTCATTGATAACTTTGACGTAGCAGAGGAACAAACCGCAATGTACTTACCCCGATAAGTAGCTGTATCGACGGGTCAAGATTTGCTGTTATCGACTGCTGAACAGTGATTGGGTTTATGGGACACTGGTTATTCCACGGCATACCAAACTCTTGTTCAAGGCTAGTTGTACCTCCGCATAGCTTGTACGTGCTGAATAAAGCCATTTTTTTAAATGAAAGGGTGGTGGGCTAATATAAAATCATAAAGACTGTGCCAGTGTTTCTTAAGCATAGTTGCCAACAACTTACATGCTCGCTACTTCAGCGCGCCAAGCCTGCAAGCAGGTTTACAAGCGCAAAAGAGATACTGAGGTGCCCAGTTTATGCACCATCAATAGCAATAAAAATCTAATAATCGTCATAGTGTAGCCTTTGAAATGAGCGTGAGCCATCTTTACCACTCGGCTATTCAGGCAGGTTACTAGATCACTGCATAGTTTGCACAGTACTGTGCAATACGAGAGCGAGAAAGGGAAGCGAGTGTGAGGAGGAGGGAAAGAAGAATCAGAGAGAGTATAACGTAGCAATGAAAGGTTTAGGAAGGAATAACTAAATAGAAATAAACGCTGAAAGGCAGAAAGTAAGAATAGTGAAAGAGAGACATATTAAGACAAAGAAAAACAAAGCCAGCATTGTGAGCAGATACCACACCCCCTGGATAAGCCGGACATGCCCAATAGCTAAGTTACGCTCCCCAACAGAGACATCGAGCGCAACCTCCGCTTCATTAAAGACGGTAGTCTTTCTTGGGGACCTTCGACGGAAAAAATTCTGGTCTGTCTGTCTGTACATTTGTCTGTTTGTCCACCCTAACGATACCTCAAACGGCACCGAACGGCCAACCCCATTCGCAGCACCCACCAATATTGCTCAAGGTTTAGCGTTCATAGTTGTTCGATTATTCAATTAAAAAGCTATTGTTGCGCATAACTGAGGCGCCATAACAACACTTCGAAGTTTTGTATGTCTGCATTTATACTAGAAGAGGCACACACAAGTAACTCTAAGGAATGTAGCGTCTATCGCGCTGCGTTGACAGTGCAACGCGATGCTCAAGAAGGTGTTTCAACGCTTTGCTACGACGTCACGGTGGTGGCACCTGCCCGTCGCTTTGCGTTCTACACCTTATCACCTCCGAGACTGGCGCGCATCTTTCTCAACGGGATGCACGCCTTCTTTTTCGAAGATAACTGCCAGATGGCGCTTGTGTCTAACGTGCCTTAGAGTTACTATACATGCTACCTTAAGGTACCAGAGTTGCGCCAAGGTACGCCATCTTGGATTAAAATGTCTTGCGGGAAAGCCACTCACCACCCACGTAGAAGCAACGCTCGCGCTTCAGAGAGATACATAGTGCCTAAATATTCAGGGATTCTGGTACAAGCGTTGCTTTATTTATTCTTTCGCTTTCTTTATTTTTTTAAAGTATGAGAGAAACTCGGTTGCTCTGGTCACACCTAGAAGCCTTGATTTGATGCTTACATTCTTGGTATGTAATAATAAAGCAAAGTGCGTAGCTCGTTGAACCAGTGAGATACATATTTATGGTTGGTTACACTAGCTTCGCCTTTTCCGCTGTTTTCCCCATTCGCAACAATGAAATTAATTTTGCCCTTTTGAATGCAGTCAAACCAGTTAGGGAAGAAATTTTGTCATCATGTCGGACTCATTCGGAAACTGCGTTAGGGAGCCAGGTGTAGTTGTATCGCCTTCAACTGAATCGAGCTGAACAGCGATCGAGAGTGCCCATGCGACGCCCATATCACGCACGGCTCTCTATTGCGCTCCTATTACAATCGCGGCTCACGACAGCTGATGTGAAACGACAGCCGATGTCAACCACGCTTGTCTTCCCGGAATCATCCTAGCGTTGGCTTCTCCGCAGTGCATTTTAACCACTTATGACCACGTAATGGCGCTCGGCGAATAGGGGCGCTGAATTTCTGTAGGCGGAGTGAACGGCGCCCGGAAAACAGTGGCGCAACTCTGCTACCTCAAGGTAGCATATACAGTAACACTAACGTGCTTCGATGCGCTCGTTCACCTCCGCTGGAAGCTCGCGGCACTCTGACGCAGCATCTCCAGAATACTCTTCGCCGATTTTCTTTTGCAGAACATCAAATAAACGTTTTTTCACTCTCTCCAGACGCAAGACTATCATCTTTAGACTACACTTGCGGTGTACATGCAGATTTGGAACCAATTTTATCCTCGATATCTTGGAGTAGCACCGTCTCACGCGTGACGTCAGCGCGGGGTCCCCGCTTTCAACAGTGCTACAGCAGCCGCTACTCCTGTGCGCAGATTGGCTGGTTCTGGCGGGGACTTAGTCAAACGAGCAGCCTCGTGAGGGTAAATACCAACGAATGCTTTTGAGTGCAGTTATGAGCTTGTTTTAGTTGTGGCCCAATCGACAAGGCCAAGAAATTTCGCAGATGGCCGACGAATGTTCTTGCTCGTCATCTGCAATTCTCATCATGGTATACAAACTGTTCGAATGTTTCTTTCAACGTTTTAATAAGCGTACCTTTCTTCAGCATCTACAAGTACGTAGATACAGCTTGCGAAACGCCCTTTGAGCATGTGCACTCCACAGCAACAGCAGGTTTCTATTATGAGTTTATGTCAAGCAGTGTGCTATGAACACGCCTGTCTTGATCAGTGAACTACGTATATGTAGAGCCATACTTTCAGATATCCTGCGCCCTTTGGGGCCACGTCTTCGGCTCTCTGTCCAGGGGCCTAGCGGTAGGTTTCGTGACGGCACTGCACCTGGTATAATTCGCCTATGCTTGTAGCCTCCTTGCAATAAATGACTGAAACACTGGCGAGGCACTCAAACATGGTCACAAGCTTTACAGAAGAATGGCACGTACGGCGGATATAGCAGAACTCACTGTCAGCGAAGTGCTTGCTTCACACAGTCGATGAAGGCGTCGGGTGCTCTCCCTTTTCGAGTTTGACTATCCACTGCTACCCCAGCTTGGGGTCGTTAGGATAGTTTTGAAAGCTAACACCCTTTTCACGGGTGAGTGATCATATAGAAGCACAGATCAGTACTTCGCCATTGTGCGGCACTCGCCATGGAGGCAAGCGGGCACAGTTCTAAGAAACAAAGCGTTGTGCTTTTTAAATTAGCGTTAAAAGCGAAATCCCATGGTTGTTAGAACAGCGTCGGTAGCCACTACATACAAGATAACCAACTGAACTGCTTCTCTGTCGAGTTTTACCACGATGGTAGTTTCTGTACGGCGCCGTGCCTCGAAAGCACGTGGATCCCCCGCAAACGTCATACAGGCGTGGTGTGCACTGCAGGCGGGACACAAGGAAGAACGCAACTGTGCACTCGTCTTCTAGTTTCGTTCATCCTTGTGTCCGGTCTGCTGTGCAGTTTGCTGGAAGATAGAAAATGATATTTTGATGCTCAATATGTCTTTGTCACAGCGGTGAATTCACAATATGCTCTCTATAACGTAAACCCGAGCGTCTGACTTGTCAACAATGAATAGGCATTCATGGTAGCACGGCTTAGCGTAGCAGAGTGAAGGCCGTTATTCTGCGCACTGCTGGTTTGTGAAATGGCAATTCGTGGCTCTACGCCTCTCTTTGCAGGATATTTATGACGGTCATACACTGTGCCGCGATGCGTGGTGAAGGCAGCTAGCCCAAATTAACAATGTTTATACCGAAGTGTCTTTTTGGCTGGGCAAAAGAACTCTGGAGAAGTCCATTTTATTTTCAGTGCAAGTGGCTGCATTGGTCGGCGTTGCGCGAAAGTATGGAAAACAATCAAGAAAGGGGAAGGGGGAGGCGGTAGCCCTATCAGCACCCTCTCACCCTTATCTGGCTGCGCCACGGCATGGGGCGTCCTTATGAAAGTGCGTATTAACGAGACAGCAAGTCAGTCTACAAGAAGAAACGCCCGGTCCTTCATTTATCCTTCTCTAACAACTGAAGCTTGAGCCGTATTTTTTACGTTACTTTCATTGTAAAGAAACTCTCTTTTTGCGTTTTTGAATATACTAATAGCGCATAAGTTTCCAGTGTACCTGTTATAAGCTTATGCGTAGGGTAGAAGAGTATATATTGGAGCTATTTGGCAAACGACACAGAGAAGTTGGTGTATGTGGGCTACTCCTCAAGACTATGATTTCCTGCTACTGCAAGTATTCGTACGTCGGTGGGCAAACCGGAAGCCTTCCAGGACATGAGCCTGTAAACACTAAAACCGTGATTGTATGCAGTGGTCTAAATTACTGACACTATACTGTGATTCCGTACAGTGTATATGTAGACGGAAAAATTTTTCAACACAGAACTAATTGCTATAGAAGCATATTTCCAGACTACACCAGTTAACAGCATCTGTAAGTTAAAAATACGAGTGTGCAAATGTCATCGAATTGTATGCGCATGTCATGTGATCAGAACTGGACAAAGCAAGAGCAAAAACATTGGTTCCAAATCTGCATGTTAAACCGCTAATGTAGTCGCAAGACGATAGTCTTGCGTCTGGAGAGAGTGAACAAAACGTTTATTTGATGTTCTGCTCAAGAAAATCTGTAAAGAGTATTCTGGAGGTGCTGCGTTAGAGCGCCTCTAGCTTGTAGCGGAGGTGAACGAGCGCATCGAGGCACGTCAGACAAAACCGCCATCTGGCAGTTATCTTCGAAAAAGAAGGCGTGCAGACCGCGCAGAAAGATGCGCACCAGTCTCGGAGGTGATAAGATGTAGAACGCAAAACGACGGGCAGGTGCCACCACCGTGACGTCGTTGCAAAGCGTTAGAAACACCTTTTTGAGCATCGCGTTGCACTGTCAGCGCAGCGCGATAAACGCTACATTCCTTAGTGTTACTTGTGTGTGCCTCTTCCATTATGAAGACAGTCATACAAAACTTCGAGGTGTTGTTATGGCGCCTCAGATATGCGCAATAATTGCTTTTTTTATGTTACAATCGCACAACTATGCACGCTAAACTTTGAGTAATATTGGTGGGCGGTGCGAATGGGATTGGCTTTTTGCTGCCGTTTGAGATATCGTTAGGGCGGACATACAGCCAAGTGTACAGACAGACAGATCAAAATTTTTTATCGAAGGTCCCCAAGAAGACTATCGTCTTTAAAAGTCGTGCTATATGTGAGGAATGGCTCTTGGCAGAACGTAAATAATCGTGTACGGAAGATGTAACATTGGTGGAAGACTTGCTGTAAATATCTTCAGCATAGATCAGTGAATTATCTGCATAAGCATAGAGGAAATTACCTAAACGCATCGGTGCAAGTATAATAGTCATTGCTAGTTTGACGCCGCCTCACGGGGAGTACTCCTTTCAGTGTGTTATGGGGTAGTATTAACTAACTGTATCTTTAAGATCCTAACTACACACTCCTCAATCAATGCTGTGAGCTAAGGGGCAACAAGAGAGAGAAGAATATTTCTTAAGAACCACGAACTGCTGGGCGAGGTCATAGTTCATCTTAATTGTGTGAGCGAAAAGATTTGAAGATCAAAAGGAAGACACAAGGACACAGCACACTGCCCAGGTGTCTCACTTTTGTACTTTAATTTTTTTCACGCACTCAGTTAAGATGAAATATTTCTTACCTGTATATTTAGTAAGTATTGTAACATATCTTGTGGAATTCATGTCCAACCACATTGAAAATGCCGGCGTTCAGCGCGAAAATGGCATCCACTAATGTCATCTCTTTAACAGTATTTCAAAACTGAGCATTCTCTAGGTGAACAATAATAATAATAATGTATAATTAACAATCAAAGGGTACTTACCATGAACCAACGTTGTTGATGCATGGAACTGTGGAACCACTGCTTGTTTTAATCGTTATCTTCAGGGTTGGGCTCGATGCTAGTTGCGTGGTGATGATCATAGAAAAATTCACTTTCATAGTTTTCCCAATCTGAGCGTCCGTTATGCTTACGCCGCTAAGCTTGACGCTCTGGGCACCTGAATGGGAGGGGAGAACATTGTGGTGCATATCAGGGTACATATAGCTGTTCATTCCTACATGAAGTTTCATGCGCCTCTACGATAAAAAAATACAGTTTTATTCAAGGCGGATAAGTTTGATGATTTTGATTTGTGGGTTTGACGTCCCAAAACCACGCTATGATTATGAGAGACGCCGTAGTGGAGGGCTCCGGAAAGTTCTACCACCTGGGGTTCTTTAACGTGCACCCAAATCTGAGCACAAGGACCTACAAAACTTCCGCCTCCGTCGGAAATGCAGCCGCCGCAGCCGGGATTCGATCCCGCGACCTGCGGGTCAGCAGCCGAGTACCTTAGCCACTAGAGCACTGCCGCGGGGCAAGGCGGATAAGTTTGCTTTCTTACTTCCTATCAAATTGTTAGTCATTCATATGCTTTTCACCCCTTCATTTCACACAAAGGTGTCTTGGAGACAAGGACAAAAGGTGTATGTGTTTTCCCAGACGGTAACCTAGCACCTGAACGGACACTCAAGCAGGAAAAAACAGCAATATCAATATAGAGCTTCGCGTCTTCATAATGTCTAACGCAAACCATGCCAGAGTGTCTGGCCTTTGGTAGGCTTGAGCACGAAAACTAGAACAGCGGAGTTCAATTTCGAGCACAGCTACTACTGGTAATACTCAAATTTTGACTGCCACATGGACACGTGTAAAGGCGGCCGCGCCTCACCGCAGATCAGTGGATCGGTGAACGATGATCTGTTCATTGTATTAGCGTATTAGTGCCAGCGCGTATCACTGTATTGTAACTTTCCATCTACCGACCACAAGTTCGGACTCTTAAACAATTTCTTCTTGGACATACAGTCTACTGCCTTCGTCAACGTCACGATCACGTTACAATACATACAAACGCTGTTTGATACACCTTGAACAATATGTATTGCATTACTAATAAGAAGAAAACTCGGGAAACAATGAAGTATTCTTCTCCAATTGGGGTCTTATAAAGCGCGAACGGCAACAAGCCTTAGCAGTGATATAATGAGCATACTCTATTTGTTCTAGTAACAAGCGCTCATATCCATTTTGGTAGCAGTGTGCATATCCATGCCTGTCCATGGTGATGGCTGCACGAAGAACGCTATTTTATTTGAAATGCTTGCCACTGATCACCTTTTTCTTTCAATGATGAGAGTACGTCTGACCAAGAATCTTGAAGTACAATAAAAAACATAATAGTTCAGAACAATCACTTACGTAACTAGCATTCCTTGAGAAGCTTCCTGTATACACAAGGGTATGTAAAACTGCGCCGTAAATTAGGCAATGGTATGCTGGGTATTACATCAGAAACCACTGTTTGATGAAGAGAGATGCCTTAGTGCAAGTGCCTTCAGACATTTGGAGTGCTTTGTGTTTCTTAACGTGCGCTGACATCGAAATGCGACCACCGCCACTAAGATTGAACACGTGACTTTCAAGGCCATGAACCATAACAACTGTACCACCGAGGCAGACTGTACTGAACAATTAGTCACTATTTCTACGTCGCAGTGTAGGGCCACACTGCTCACAACGCCGTTCGTAGACTGCCAAGTATCGCTCATCTACACGTACATTGCCTAAAGGAAACTAGTAACTGTAGGCCCCAACCATCCTACCCTGTGAATATTAGGCACTGCGAAAATAACTTTGTTTTCGGGGCGAAGCTCCTTACGCTGGGGCTCAGTAACTCCTCCGTAGCCACCCCTTACTTTTCACGATGTTCACTTGATGGCACTGCGCCGTTGCAGTACGTGAGTGATAACTAAACGGCGTGGAGACAGACAGACAGACAGACAGACAGACAGACAGACAGACAGACAGACAGACAGACAGACAGACAGACAGACAGACAGACGGACTGAGCTTCACCCCATTCATCATCAGTCACTACGTAGATATGCTGTGAATTTTCGGGTTCGCATAATGGAGACACGTCCGAGTAAGAACGATGGTTCACACACTCTTGAACTCTAAGAGGCCCTGCTCAGCAGCCTATACCCGAGCGTTTGGCAAAACACAAACAGTCACATCCTTGCTGCTGCTATGTCTCAAGAAATTCCAGCCAAAGGTTGGGGGCGACTGGATATGCATTACGTGATTGACCGATTATTTTTAATAAAGATTTTTTTCTCTCTCTCTCTGTCTTCCTCTCCATCAACAACTCATAAGGGTACAATAAGCAGATATGGCACGTTGCTTTTCTATGACGTGATTTCTGTTTTGTTAAAAACCGTCTCAGATTCCCCACGCGAAATGCGCTTAGAATCAACCACTCAGTAAACTGTAGATCTTGTACGAGTATTTTTTTGCTGATTAATGTTCATCTCGTGAAATATTTCTGAGCCCGGCGCACTTCGTCAACTCGGTGCATCAGTCATTACAAACTTAAAGTTTAAGTATTGTTCACTGACTGCACTTGCGACAAAACATCACGTTTCCAATGAACAGATAAAGCTCTTAATTCTCTAAAATCCTTTTAACCTCTAAACAGGCCATGATGAAACACGCCTACGTAAAAGCGGAAAAGGCTAAAGGTTAAAGTCTCGTTTTTCTTTAGTTACAACTTTAATGAAAATCAACAAACAGTTAGGTTAAGGTTGATAGGGTGGAGGCTATTTGTATTTTTCTGGCTGTATTTAATTGGTATATAGATATACAGAAAAAAGGGAACAAAAAATAACATGCCGGCTGGCAGAGACCTTACCTGCAAACTCTAGTTAACACGTCCGGTAATCTACCCACTTAGCTGCAGTGGCATTAATCAACTCGTTCAATTTCAATACCTGTGCTTACAAACCTTCCCCGCCACTCATAGTTATAACGCCGAGTGTAGAACAATCTTTTTGTCGGCTGGTACTACGTAGGCCATAAACTCTATACATGCTGGCCACAGCCTAATAAGCTCTCACACATTATCTGAAGACTTCCATCCTGCATAAATGAGACCAGGAATTTGTCTGGCCGTTCGGGCACAAATAGCAATATTTGTTAGTTTACGAGCTTCGTGAAACCTTATCTCGAATTATCGAGTTTTAACCCCAGTGATAAATGTTATTTTATTAACACGCTTCTAGTCGTTGCAGTTATGTCCTCTAGCCTGCTCTTAGAGGTTGTTTGCAAGTTTCACTTTCAGTAAAATTTAGCCTATACTTAAAGATACTGATCTCATACTGCAATTTAGATATACGCAGAACGGCATGTTACCTAACACTGACTCCTATTAGTGTCACAACAAGTTATACAAATTTAAAAGCTGAAAATCACGATGAGGGGTGCATGTGCACACCTTACTATACTAGTATACTCACTGGAACATGATGTTAGCGTAGGCGACTGTACTGAAGCTGCGACCAAGTTCGAGCACACTAGCGCGATGGATAACACAAAGAACAACATATTCGGCTTTCTATCAGCAAGCACTGCTTTGCTTAAAAGCCGAGAAAACAGGCAAACACTTTCAGTTCTCAGTAAAGTTGGTATTTGAGTGGTTAATTTATACCTGTGCTGTAGAATATTAATGAGCAACAAAAGCTACACGTGCAAGAGCAGCGGCGAGTATTGACTCGTTCATTTTCCGGTCTCTTGCACTTTCCCGGCACATGAGAATAATTTTTCACTTAACTATCACCAAATAGAACACGAAGTTTACAATGTGCAGTGACGTGTCTCGACGAAATGGCTTGAAAATGCATCCGGCCTCGTGTGTGCTGTCGCCATTAAAAGTTCGTAGACTTCAGAAAAAGCTTTAATATTCACCTACAATGAAATAGTGTTTCTGTCTACCTGTTAGTCGAGTCTTGTCACTGTTCCTGTGACAAAATCTCTCCAATATATATATATATATATATATATATATATATATATATATATGTATGTATATATATATATATATACATATATATATATATATATATATATATATATATATATATATATATATATATATTTATATATAGATATATATAAAGCTAAATCATCAGTATTTCTACATGATCCGCCAGTGTTACCTCAATACGAAGGCATAACATAATAAAATAACTGACGCGATCCTTCAGCATTCGACATTGTTATCTATATACAATTCTTGAATGAACATCTTTTCAACTATGGCAAAGTTTCTCCTTGGCTTGGGGTCACAATTCATAAGTTTTATTGCTTGAATGCGTAACCTTCTTGATTGTTTTGCTGTAAATCACTACTAAACACTTAAGCAGCTTGGTTGAATAGTATGATTGCTGTGATGGAAGCCTAAATTTGTAATCATGTACAAAACATCATAAATACCACAGGAACGGTAATAATGAACGGCATAATAAAAAAATGTAGTATCAGAGGTTATACGTCCCAAGATTAAGATATCAATACGAGCCACGTTGTAGTGGAAGGCTCCGGAAGTTTCGACTATCTGGTGTTCTCTAACGTGCATTGACATCACACGTAATACGGTCCTCTACCATTTTGCTTCGATCAAACTGTGACCGCCGCGAGCGCGATCAAACCCGTGACCTTCAGTCAGCAGCCGAGCACCTTAGCCACCACTCCAAAGCGGCGGACAGGCAAAATATCGGAAAAAAACACAGAGGATGCAAGGAGTTCCAAGATAATAAAAAGGATTCTGTCTGAGCAATGAGAAAATTGTCCTTGTGCTAACTTCAAATCTACATTGAATCGAGTTCTCAATCCGACAGACAACTAAGTGGGTAACCCCATCGGCTGCTATAGTTTGTAGTTTCGTCACACAAATATTTCCAGATAAGCCATGTCATCAACTTTTCAGCGTCAGTACTTATGGCCCTCTATATATTAGTTATGTATGTATCTGAATAGCTACCCATCTCTAGACTAATAGTGCCAATAAAAGCCAGATCGGCACTGGTTTTTCCATGCAAGCTTCATGACGCATATCTAAATTGTACCTGAAAGTTCAGGTAAGCGCACACTATATTCATCGTTGTTCATTCTTTATATCTAGCTCAACTGCGGTAGTCTATGGCTAAGGTACTCGGCTACTGACCTGCAGGTCGGGGGATTAAATCCCGGCTGTGGCGGCTCCATTTCCAATGGAGGCGGAAATGTCGTAGGCCCATGAGCTCATATTTGGGTGCACGTTAATGAACCCCAGGTGGTCAAAATTTTCTGGCGCCCTCCACTACGGCGTCTCTCATAATCATATGATGGCTTTGGGACGTTAAACCCCACAAATAAATCAATCAATCTTTCACTTAGAGTAAGTGATCAACTGTTATAAATTTAATTTTGTGCGCATCAAATGTCATGCGTTGCTTTTTCTTGGGTGATACAAGCAACAAAGTGTGGTCATAAACGTTATGCTGGAAGTCAGCACTTGTATTTTGTGTCCTGCTTTGATGTTCTCGTTAATCCAGCGCAATCTTTTCTCCTCATCAATGTGTACCAACGAGCAAAAAGTTCAACAGCAATTGTGAGGTTTCTTACTGATATCAAGCGCTGTCTTATTATCGCATGTAGGCCAAGACACTGAAAAGTTCATGAACATAACTTTTTTCAATTGTTCGTGTTGGGCTCTGGCTAAAATTATTTTATAGTCCCCTCTTACCTTTGTCGACGCAGCACGCTACCAAGAACGTGACCGCTTTGTGGCCGATGTCGTAGACCACACTCAACAATATAAAAACAGCGCGTCAATTATCACACGGAACGTAGAAAAGTCAGAGGAAGTGGCTATCGCGATGGCCATAGCCCACACTAATGGCTCATGTGTAATCAGCGACTCGCAGACAGCCGTTCGAAACTACGCCAGCGGCAGAATCCTCCCCCGAAGCATTGCGGATTCTTAGTGCAGGCGAAATCCACGAGGAGGACAAATACGTGCAAGTCCTTTGGTTCCCTGCCCACACACCACTAGGTAACCCGGAGGACAGTCCGAATGAAGTGGCGCACAACGTGGCTTGAGGTCTTACGTTCCGAGTCGCGTCAGACGAAGCGGCCCCCCGAACGGACTTTTCTGCACCGGTGTGGGAATGGGATGATCGGCTCATTAAATTTAATGACATGACAACACTATCCACTGCAAAGGCGGGAGTACCCTCCGCCTCACCCCAAGCTAAATCGGGCCCAGTCCGTTCAGTGGCGGCCTGCTACAAACACGCGCACACAAGAACCCCGTCATCATGCATCACATATATCTCGGTGTCTATAGCCCAAATCTATACCAGTACTGTACCACTGGAGCCACTCTTGACAATATTCTAAGGGAATGTCCAGCATTAGTCAGAAATTCCGGGGTGGCGGCCTCCAATGAAGACCTTCGGGCGCCTTCGCGGACTACGCTGCTCAGTTTGAGCCTGGACAAGCAACTTTGGGAAATCCAGAGGCCAAGGAAGCTGCCGGGAGACACGTCCTCTCCATTATCTCGTAGGTGGGAGCTCCGCCCAGCAATTCGCCGAAAATAATAAAGTCTACCTCTCTCTCTCCTCTTTTACAGCATTCTCACGCATAACCTTTCAGGTTATTGTAAATAAAACAATAAATATAAAAAGGGCGCTTGTACTGTCAAGAAATTGTGCAGGATCTTTATTTATTGTCAGGTAATTACATACTTTTGTAGGGGTAAAGCACCTTAAGCCTTGGGCCTTGCGTCCTCGATGTATGTAGTAGTAGTAGGCAGCCAACTTTTGTTTAGTCCTTGGATTGTCCGCTGGATGGCGGTACTTGTATATGATGAATGTATGATGAGAAGATGCGAGATGGTGGTACTAGGAGTGTTTACTAGATGTAATGATGGACGGACCGGACAGACACACAGACAGATGTACATATGGACAGGAGGGAGCAAGGGATGACGGGCTATAGGCAATGTATCTAATACTGTACTTTCGTGTCACGGGTGTAAATTACGTCATTTTATATAAACAGTGTACACGTATATATGCAGCACAATTCCTCAAGTAAAAGTGCTTTTCGTCCTGTGAGCATTATACCTCTAATTTTTCTGAAATGAGGGTTTGCGAATATTCAAAACTTTTGCCTAACAATTCCAATAACGTTGCATTCAATGCTTACTCGAATCGCACAGTGTATATTCAAAACACCGAATATCTTTCAATAATCAGCACCGACAGGAAACCGTGAAAGCAACAAAATGCCGGCGCTTCCAGACGTCATTTTTGTCGCTTTCGTCATTGAATTTCCACATGTGCAGCGCCGGATTTTACGACCATCGACGTCCTAATAAACACCGGATGAAGCTATTCTTTGTTTAGAGCACCAGTGTCACCGATGAGAAAGCCTCATTAATCTAAGTTTATCACCATGAGATCGCTGTTTCTGATAAGTGATATGTACGTTTTAACATTTCAGAAGATTCGAATTAATTACTGCCATCTAATTCAGAAAACTAACGTATTACGGAATTCTGGGGAGTTTGTTCTCAGCATGATTCAAAATTACTTCACCTCGACATTACAATGCACAAGTTATAACGGGTTATATTCACAGATGAAAGAAATAACTCTTGTGGTCCCAGAAGGAACATTATTAGGCCCTCTTTTTTTCTAATATATATAAACGACATACCCCTTACTCCAAATGTAGTTTTGTATGCTGACGACACAAGTTTATTTTTTAGTAACAGTCTAGGTGGGCTGAAATCCACAGCTAATAATTGAGTGAATCAATTTTATAATTGATTCTCTGCAAACCAATTATAGCTGAATGTCAGTAAAACCAAATATGTTGTTTTAAGCCTGTAAATAAACTGTATATGGCAGTCTTGTTTGTGTAAAGTTTAATAACGCTGTAATGAAACAGACTTCAGTTTTTAAACTTCTCGGAGTTCTCGTTGATGAAAACCTCAGTTTCACAAAACATATCGTGAAGGTTCATTCCACCATCTGTAAGTCAACTGGTAGATTGTTTAGGATCAAGCACTTTGTTGCCGTTTGGTTAACACATCGCTTGTATCACGCAACAATTCAATAGTTACTGCCTGATATGGGGAACCACATGCCAATCAAACCTGAATAGGCTCATAAATCTTCAGAAACGAACTGTTCACTTAATATAAAGCCTTGGATATCGTGATCATGTGGCCAATGTATTTTTAAAACATCGTCTTCTAAAACTTACTGATCTATAATATCTTATGCTCGCAATATACATACAAGGTTAACTCGAGAAAAATGCCATCTTTTTTTTTCTAAAAGTACCTTTCAACTAACCATCAATGCAATTTTAGGCACGATAAGTTTAAAGTTCTCTTTTGTAGAACATTATACGGCACTAAACAACTTACATACCTAATCCTAGCCTTTATAAATGCACATCCCAGTACTATCAGTGTTGCTTGAAACTACGTGCCTTTTAGTTACTTTTAAAATACCATGAATAGGTACTTCCTTTATGTTAGTGACTGAATATATTACTAGGTCTCTTCTTTCGGACGTATTGGTTTGGTTCAGTTTTGTATGCTTAACTATCCTTTTAGGTTGC